CTGATGAGCTCCGTGCTATCATGGACAAGAAGCACAATATTAGGAACATGTCAGTTATTGCCCATGTGGATCACGGTACGTTTATTTCACCTTTCTTCTAGTTGCGTTTGGTTTACGGTGTTCTGTTGTTGTTTTCTTGGTTCTGGAACGTGCCCCGAATTGTGCAACTGATTATTGACTTCAAATCTGGTACAAGTCTTCGTAGGTTGTATTTCGATAATTATTCATCTGGAGTTGCAGATGTGGTTTTTGCGTTATTACTGTTGCGCTCGAGTCATTAGTTGAAAAAGCAGATTGAGATGATGGTGAACTCTCGAAACAACTAACCAAATGTGTCCCGTCTCACGATGATAAACTGCTGGTAATCTGGCTCTAGTTTGTTTAAAGCTATCTTCATTTAGATGTCGATTTCATAATCACATCGATATCGGCTGTAGACATCGAAAAAGATAATAATTTGATTGTCGTTTGTGTTAAGTAAACTAGTGGGAATTCTTCTTTTAGTCTCAAGGTTCGACTCCTAAACTTGCATTCTTGAAAAGCACAATACAGTAAACACTCAGAATTCCAAGGGCGAACTTGGTCCGATGAATCCCTTGCACATGAGCTGAGTGATTCTATTTATGCTGCATACTGACTGAATTAGTGGTTTAGTCCGAATCTCTGATACTTGATAATATTTTCAGACGATACATAAACTTGTTTATACAGAGGTCCATTTATAAGTTTGAGTCTGTAATCATGGAGAATTCTCACTGTTTCAAGTTGTGGCACATAGACTTCTCAGGCAAAAGTCAATCTAAATGATCATCTTGTCTCCTCGCAAAAGAATATCAGCGACTCTGTCTCCGAGTTGGTAGCTCGAAAGACTTATAGCAGTGGTAACAAATCTAAAGAATAGGATTGACGACAATGAACGTGAAGGTCAAGTTGACGATCATGAGATTTGGTTGTGGTTTGCAGGAAAGTCGACTTTGACGGATTCCCTGGTGGCTGCTGCTGGAATCATTGCCCAGGAGACCGCCGGAGATGTGAGGCTGACGGACACTCGGCAGGATGAGGCGGACCGTGGCATCACCATCAAGTCGACCGGTATCTCGCTGTACTACGAGATGACGGAGGAGTCGCTGAAGGACTACAAGGGCGAGAAGGACGGGCATGATTACCTGATCAACCTGATCGACTCGCCCGGGCATGTGGACTTTTCGTCGGAGGTGACGGCGGCGCTGCGGATCACGGACGGAGCTTTGGTGGTGGTGGACTGCGTGGAGGGAGTGTGCGTGCAGACGGAGACGGTGCTGCGGCAGGCACTGGGAGAGAGGATCAGGCCGGTGTTGACTGTGAACAAGATGGACAGGTGCTTTTTGGAGCTGCAGGTGGAGGGCGAGGAGGCGTACCAGACGTTCCAGCGGGTGATCGAGAGCGCGAACGTGATCATGGCGACGTACGAGGACGCGCTGCTGGGGGACGTGCAGGTGTATCCGGAGAAGGGGACGGTGGCGTTTTCGGCGGGTCTGCACGGGTGGGCGTTCACGCTGACGAACTTCGCGAAGATGTACGCGGGGAAGTTCGGGGTGGACGAGAAGAAGATGATGGAGAGGCTGTGGGGGGAGAACTTTTTCGACCCGGCGACGAAGAAGTGGACGTCGAAGAACACGGGGTCGGCGACGTGCCAGCGCGGGTTCGTGCAGTTCGTGTACAACCCGATCAAGCAGGTGATCAACATCTGCATGAACGACCAGAAGGAGAAGCTGTGGCCGATGCTGGCGAAGCTGAACTGCGGGCTGAAGGCGGACGAGAAGGACCTGGTGGGGAAGGCGCTGATGAAGAGGACGATGCAGGCGTGGCTGCCGGCGGCGAGCGCGCTGCTGGAGATGATGATTCACCATTTGCCGTCGCCGGCGACGGCGCAGAGGTACAGGGTGGAGAATTTGTACGAGGGGCCGCTGGACGACCAGTACGCGAACGCGATCAGGAACTGCGACCCGAACGGCCCGCTGATGCTGTACGTGTCGAAGATGATTCCGGCGTCGGACAAGGGGCGGTTTTTCGCGTTCGGGCGCGTGTTCGCGGGGAAGGTGTCGACGGGAATGAAGGTGCGGATCATGGGGCCGAACTACGTGCCCGGGGGGAAGAAGGACCTGTACACGAAGTCGGTGCAGAGGACGGTGATCTGGATGGGGAGGAGGCAGGAGTCGGTGGAGGACGTGCCGTGCGGGAACACGGTGGCGATGGTGGGACTGGACCAGTTCATCACGAAGAATGCGACGCTGACGGGGGAGAAGGAGACGGACGCGCACCCGATCAGGGCGATGAAGTTTTCGGTGTCGCCGGTGGTGCGGGTGGCGGTGCAGTGCAAGCACGCGTCGGACTTGCCGAAGCTGGTGGAGGGGCTGAAGCGGCTGGCGAAGTCGGACCCGATGGTGTTGTGCATGATCGAGGAGAGCGGGGAGCACATCATCGCGGGGGCGGGAGAGCTGCATTTGGAGATCTGTTTGAAGGATCTACAGGACGACTTCATGGGGGGCGCGGAGATCGTGGTGTCGGACCCAGTGGTGTCGTTCCGGGAGACGGTGTTGGACAAGTCGGTGCGGACGGTGATGAGCAAGTCGCCGAACAAGCACAACAGGCTGTACTTCGAGGCGCGGCCGTTGGAGGAGGGGCTGTCGGAGGCGATCGACGACGGGCGGATCGGGCCGCGGGACGACCCGAAGGTGCGGTCGCAGATACTGGCGCAGGAGTTCGGGTGGGACAAGGATTTGGCGAAGAAGATCTGGTGTTTCGGGCCGGAGACGACGGGGCCGAACATGGTGGTGGATATGTGTAAGGGAGTGCAGTACCTGAACGAGATCAAGGACTCGGTGGTGGCGGCGTTCCAGTGGGCGACGAAGGAGGGTGCGATGGCGGAGGAGAACATGCGCGGGATCGCGTTCGAGGTGTGCGACGTGGTGCTGCACACGGACGCGATCCATCGCGGAGGAGGGCAGATCATCCCGACGGCGCGGCGGGTGATGTACGCGGCGCAGCTGACGGCGAAGCCGCGGCTGCTGGAGCCGGTGTACCTGGTGGAGATCCAGGCGCCGGAGGGTGCATTGGGAGGAATCTACGGAGTGCTGAACCAGAAGCGCGGTCACGTGTTCGAGGAGGTGCAGAGGCCGGGGACGCCGCTGTACAACATCAAGGCGTACTTGCCGGTGATCGAGTCGTTCGGGTTTTCGGGGACCTTGCGAGCGGCGACGTCGGGGCAGGCGTTCCCGCAGTGCGTGTTCGACCACTGGGAGATGATGAACAGCGACCCACTGGAGGCGGGTACTCAGGCGGCGACCCTGGTGTCGGACATCAGAAAGCGGAAGGGGTTGAAGGAGCAGATGACCCCATTGTCGGATTTCGAGGACAAGTTGTAGGGATTGTGCTGTGTTATGTTGTCATTATCATTTAGATAGGTATTTCTGAGTTCAGGAGACATGGACGAGAGGTTATTGAAGTACATGCGGATAGTATGTAGTCAGTTTGAGGAGTTGGTTGTGCTTCATGGAATTTTATTCAATGTGCTGGATTATCTCAGAGGCATTTTCATTGACAAGCCGCTTGGCTTTTGTCTTCTCTTAAATTATATCAATATTTGCTATTTTTGCCGTGAGCAGATATTTTTGGCAGTTATCTTTTCTTTCTGCAACGACTAATTGTTGCTTCCTTTCTTTGTTGTTCAATAGCCTAATTGTTGTGACTAATTGTTGCTTCCTTTCTTTATAGAAACTGCTATAAAAGAATTATTTAATAAATAGGTAATAATCTATTTATTATTTTTTATGATTGTCGAAGTCAGTATATGAGTTGACCAATTAAACCTTGTCATAAAATATGATTTGGTTTATTCCATGGTCTCTTTTCACTTTTGAATACATTCAAAGGTCATGGTTTCTAAAAAACCCCGTAATTTATAGTTCATTTTGTGTACATATTGTTATATATCTATAACTCTATCTATGTATTAGGAGTTAGTTGCGAAGTGTTATAAATGGAAAAAGAATGAAGTTTTGGAGGATGCATAACTCTATATATCTATAAGAATTTAGTTGCAAAGTGTTATAAATGGAAAAAGAATGAAGTTTTGGAGGATGCATAACTCTCTATATCTATAAGAATTTAGTTGCAAAGTGTTATAATGGAAAAAGAATGAAGTTTTAAAGGATGCATTACTCTATCTATCTGTAAGAAGTTAGTTGCGAAGTGTTATAAATGGAAATAGAATGAAGTTTTGGAGGATACTTCTAAAAATTAATGTGAAGTAACTAAGGTAGTGAAAAAGTTTTAATTTCTTTAATTATGATTTTATCATCTTTGTCAAGAATACAATACTTAATTACAACATATCTCCATGCATCAAGTATGTCAAATATTCTATATATCTTTTTTTTTATTTGTCTATTTTAATTTATTCTAATGATTTCTCTTATTTAATCTATCTTGGCTAACACCAACAATTATTGGTTTTGACCATTATAGATACTTAGATAGTTAGACCTCAATGTTTGGTATATAATATTTGGTTTAATTTTTTTCAATTCTTTTGGAATACTCTCTAACCTTCAAATACTCATAATTTTTGCACAAACACATGAGTAATTTGGATCTTAAAAAATTACAAGATCTTCATCAAGTCAAACTAGCTTAATGCTAAGATTTATGCCTCATTTTGCACGGCAATATTAAATATGATAAACTACACTAGTCCAAAATATATATATTTATATAATTTCAAAAAAATCTCAGTTGTCCTACAACCAAATAAAACGATATCCTTAAAGTTTGAGCAATTTTAGAATTAGAAAAAGAAACAAAATTAAACGGAGGATTCTTCACCTAATATTTCATTGTAACTGAACCCAGGCTCTCTTTTCAAATTATAATTTATCCTCCTGGTTCCTTTTTCCAATTACAATCTATTCTTCAAATAGCAAAGAGATGCATATCACAGCTTATTTTTTAGAGATCATATGTGTATGTATATGTATATACATATTGTAACATGTATACACAGAATGCCAATGTTGATATATACAGTCATGTCTCAACAAATATTTGACCTAAAAATAACCGTAACCTCCAATAGTCAATAGAATCCTTGATACTACAACCCAACAGAGAACCAATCGAAGGTGTGAATGTCCACAGTAAGCTGTTCCAGAATCCCTCAGCTGTGCAGAGTTTTCGGCAAATTGACATACTGGAGCTACTTTTTTCTACAGCAACAAATCACCGACACCAATCAAACACTTCCATTTGATGAAAATGGATGGAGTAAAATCCGATGGCCAAGGATGAGACTGCTATATATCAGTTTGCACATTCTAGCGTTGCAATGGTAAGTTGAATGAACATACAAACAAAACATGGCATTTGAGAAAGATGAGAAGAATGGGCACTTAACAAGAAAAAGAAGAAGGCTATATGTTTTGTGAGGTAGAAGAGACTGCCAGATCAATCATCTGTTGAAGCATCTTCACACCAACCACATTGCCATCACCTGTAAGGACAACAAATTTCCGTTCTGGAGAGGATCGGTGCAACGGAGCAGCTCGAAACTTTCCTTAGCTCAGAAGGGTTTAAGGTTTCGGCAGCAGAACAGATTCTACGAATGAAGGAGTGCCGTTGTTAGGAGCGCCGGAGATACCCAGAATGGACGTCATCACATTATACAGCTGCACTATCTCAAACGACGGCACCTTCCTGCCTCTCTCAAATTGGGGGCCGTGTCCGAAGAAAATTGTCCGCATGGAGAGGTAAGCATTGTCGTAGCCGTGAGCTCCCCCACACATGGACTCGTTCGTCCTCTTGGCAACCAACTTGTAGCCCTCAGCCACCATTCCGATAATCGGCTGAATCCTGTCGCTTGCGGAGAAATGCAGCCGAGCGGGCAAATCCTCCTTCAGGTACATCTTCACAAAGTCGGCATTCTCCACTTTTCCGGAGGCTAACCCGTCCGTGATGTTCTTGAGAACAGACTGCACATCCACTTCCGGCGGTGGTCGAATTGACAGAACAGGATAGTATGTGTCAATCCACTCATCGGGGATATCGATCCACGGATGCAAATCTTCAAGGTATATCATCTTGTCTTGGCAATATCCTACCATACCGTGATCTCCAACCATGATTATCGTGACATCATCTAGGATCCCTCTCTCTCCCAGCCCGTCCATAAGCCTCCCAATCATTTGATCAACACGAACAACTTGATCAGTGATCTGCGGGGCGTCAGGCCCGTAGATGTGGCCCTCCTCGTCGGGCTCCTGGAAGTAGAGAGCGATCAGGCTAGGCCTCAGCTCAGAGGGCAAATCCACATAACTTAACACGGTATCCACGCGTTCCTCGAAAGGCACCGACCCATTGTATTTCGGACAAAAGAGCCGAGGACAAGTCCATGACCCTTTTACAACTTCGGACCCTGGCCAGAAATATACCGCCGCACTCATACCGCTCTTCACCACCGTTTCCCAAATGGGCTCCCCGAGCCACCACTTAGGGTTATGGTTGTGCATGTTGAATCTATCCGTGCTGTTGGGGTCTGGATCACTGAAGTGGTTGCCGATAACCCCATGCCATGCAGGATACAGCCCTGTAACAATGGAGTAATGGTTTGGGAAGGTTAGCGATGGATACACGGGGATCATCCCCGTTTCCGCTTCGGTACCATTCAACCGCAGCCTGTCGATGTTTGGTGTCGGTGCCTTATGGTTGTATCCCCACCTGAACCCATCCGAGCTTATCAAGATAATCATCGGCTTGTCCAATTTCTTCAACGCCCGAGCCGCGCCCCATGATCTGTTGCAGCCCTCCCCGATCCCCGTATCTCGAAACGAGCTCATCACCAGCCATACCACCAACCCATTGAGAAAAGGAAATGTCGTCGCCCACAGCAGCCAATTCCGCCTGATGTAACGATTTGTGCTTTCTTTTGCAGTCTGTGGGTATAACTCCGGCAGGAGAGGCTCACTGTGATGAGCATTGCTCAAGCTGGGCTTTGCCTTGGAGATCGCCATTGGTAACGTTACCCCTGCAAATAAACTCACAACCTAGCGAATTCAGTGGGGTTTAAAAGAAGTAGATGAGGCTTAAAAAGCATGATGGAAAACGTACACATCACTCAAATTCAAGTCTGCTGATGCTGCCGTAACAAACAAAACACGCATTCCGCATCATAAAAACCTTATCTCGCAGAACATGAAGGACTACACGGTGTTCGGTTGTCAATTGAACAGTGATGCTCTCATTCAAGTACCATTACGGAATAAAATGCATCCCAGTTTAGACAGTGTACAACAGTATATGGACTAAATTTGGCCATCGTTCGTAGCTTTCTGGCAAACTCTTGTACATCACTGAGTGCGTCTGCTACGTTTGTGGGAAAGAATTATTTATCTCTTCAGTTAGAGGCAAATATTTTCGTCGGGAATCATACCAAAAACAAATTACTGAAACCAAGTACTGATTGGAAAGGGAAGTTCCATGATTCACCACGTCTGAGAGTTTAAGCAGGAAATTTTCAACAAGATGGGACAAAATAGAACAATGTGTAAGCGGAATGGTAAATCGTCTTGCAGTATGTGCAGACGACACCCTAAAACAAAAGATAGGAATTTGTAGAATTTAACAAGTGTAAATAAAGTGCAAGACTGACAGGCATTTCAAAATCAGGCCACTCTTGCATAGATTTCGTAAGATTTAGGTGTGAACAACGCCACCACATTAGCCGATACATTACACTCAAGCTTCAAACAAGACTACATACTCTTATAGGTCCATCTGTTCTTCAGCCCTCCGAAGCAGAAGGATTGCCATAGAAGGGCTTCACGGACACGAGTAATTTAGAAATACAAAGCATATCCAGAGTATAGAGAGCACCTCCACCACTGGTTACAAAACAAAACTACATCCAAGTCATCCAAAAACGAACGACAGGTATCTACTTCAACCTTTTAGCTACTTATTTCTACAGTAGGAAAAGCTCTCCTCCAGAGTACAATAGAACACGCTCAGTGGAGATGACGAGAAGCTCCGCTGTAGTCTACCCTCCTTAACGGCTTCCAACTTTGAATCATTCGTGTCTCAGCAACTGCAACTGAGTAATTAGGGCTAAAGCATCCATCTCTATTCGGCAACGCAATTACACATTAAGCTCAATGTCCGACGTCGACTCATCATCCCCCTCATTCGACTCCTGACCGGCTTTGATGCTTTGTCTTTCTATAGTATTTATCAAAACTGTAGGAGTATAGGAGGTCCTTTTCCGAGTTTTTGTATAGCTGTTTTTTACTTTTTCTGAAATTTCCTCCAAATTACAAGCCACCCACATCCTAATAAGTTCCATGGCACTCAAAAGAGAAAAAAGTGACTAGTACTGCTCCTCTAGTGTCAGAACGTCTGTGATGCCCAGGGTACACCGCAGATTCTGATGACCCATGCCGCCATTGCACTTGCGCATCATGGTCACGAACATCTTGTAGTCAATACTACCGTCTGCGCCAATGCTCACGTCATGTAAAAGATCCTCCAAGCGTACGTCCTCCATGTGAAATTCGAAGCAGACAGCGAGGAGCTCATCGGTGGTGATATATCCGCTACCGCTCTTATCGAGATACTGAAAGGCCGCCATGAGATTCTCCTCCAATTCAATGTGATTAAGGCTCAGAGTGGCAGCTAGAAATTCCCCGCAATCAATCATGCCATCGTGGTCGACATCTGCAGCATCCATAAGGTCGAATAGCTCAGCGTCCTTGAGGGATGTCCCCACCCTGAGCAGACCCGCTTTCAGCTCCTCGAAGCTTATGGCACCATCGTTGTCGCTATCCATCTCGGTGAAAATTTCCTTTAAATTTGCTATCTCCTCCTCCGAGAGCGTCTCGGCAATGATCCGAATTGCCAGTTTCTTCAGCTTGTTCATCGCAGCGAATTGCTTCATCCGGAACTGGACGAGGGACGCGATAGGCTTCTTAGGCGCCACACCATCCTCACGAATCCAAGGGTGATTCAAAACCTCGTGGGCTTTAAGCCGCTTTTCTGGATTGGGATCCAACATCTTTCGGATCAAATCCTTCGCCACCTCCGAAATGTTCGGCCAAGGATCGGCGGTAAAGGTCGGGGGTTCCCCCTCCATGACTTTCTCGAATATACCCTGCACTGTCTCTGCCCAAAACGGTGGAGCACCGCTCAACAAAATGTACAACATAACCCCAGCACTCCAGATGTCAGCTTCTGGCCCGTAATGCCGATCCAAGACCTCCGGCGCAACATAGTAGGGGCTTCCGACAATATCAGTAAACACATCTCCCGGCTCGAAAAACCTAGCCGAGCCAAAATCCGCAGCCTTCAAAACAGAATCGTCTTCCTTGGTCTTGAATAGAAAATTTTCCGGCTTCAGATCCCGGTGCACAACACCAGATTTGTGACACGCTTCGACGACGCTAACTATTGTTCTTGTCAGACGAGCAGCTTCTGCTTCCGTGTAAGTCCCGCGTTCAATAATACGATCGAAAAGCTCCCCACCCTCGCAAAGCTCCATCACCAAGTAGACATTGGTGGCATCCTCGTATGCACCCTTGAGGGTGACGATGTTAGGGTGGCCAGAGAGGTGATACATAACCTCGACCTCCCGGCCGACATCTTCGATTTCCTCTGAGGAGATGAGTTTTCGCTTGGGAATGCACTTGCAAGCGAATTGTAACCCTGTCGCACGCTCGGTGCAGAGATACGTAGTTCCAAATTGACCCTCTCCCAGTTTCTTCCCGAGAGAATATAGTTTCTCTAGATCATCCGTCGCGTTTTGCAACAGCGCAGGGAGGGGCACATGCTCCTGGAAGCCGACCAATACTTCAAAATCCGCCATAGAAACAAGCTCCGATAGACACAGAGAACCTCCAAACTACTGCAAATGAAATTCGATTGATTAATGTGGCACTTAACCAGTGAGCACTGAACCTGCAAGAAAACTACGCGACTTGTTAAAATTTAAATTTAAAAGCCAAGGCACCGGGACACTCCCTAACCACACTACTGCAATATGCTCGAAATGTAACACTGCTCACACGCGCTGAAAGCGGATTTTGAATGTGGCACAGGTCGAGAAAATACTTCTAAGACCCGGCATTGACACGACATGCTGTTGCTGCCAACAATCGACGACTTCCAAGGGTTGTGTGAATGTCAAAGATTCCCATTGAAATCTTCACGGCACGGTAAAGAAAAGGGCGAGAATGATCAGCAACTCACCAAAGAATGAGGATGTGGCCGATAATATGCTCAAGGGTCACCGGTGTTCGACATCCACACAGCCATTACCGGCATGCGACGCATATAGAACCCCGCTCAAAACTCTAAAACAGAGTGTCAGCCCGAGCGTAGTTGCGAAATCAATTATCCAACATCCGAGGCGCTGGTCATGTTCCCCCGACCGAGAACGCGTATGGCCGAAAAGTGTGCCCAAGTATGCTTCACCAACGAGAAAGGTTTTTTTCTCTACGGTCCGAAGTCCTCTCCCTGCTTCAGAAACTTATTCATTCTCGGTGGAGGACCAACTTCGGCGCGGCGGCGAAAGAAAAACTGAGAAGAGGCAGAGGGCAAGCAATACTCCTTCCTCCAAACTTCCGAACTCCGACTCGAAGACACAACTAGACGCCTAAGGCTCGTATCGAAGATATCGGCGAAAATTACAACTTGCATTAAGACTCCTCACACTAGCAAACTCTGTTAACGATAATGAACGATATGTGAGTGATTCGCAAACTCTGCACTCACTCTGATAACGAGAACTATCACCAACCTGCACTTGAAACAACCTCTCCCAAACCCTTCCAAGAAAGGATCTCACGTCTCGACCGGCAAACCTTACGTACACCGGCCTACACTACCCCTGCACACAACAAAGGGCTGCAACTAAAAACATAAAAAAAACACTAAGTAGGCTATTCATTCCAAACCCTTACCACGGCACCCGCTGTATGTGTGTATGAATGTATCTTTGTATGTACGAGGCTATTGATCTCCGCCCTCGACGTCCACTCACGCGACCAATCGACAAGCAAAACCCTTGAACTTAGAAGGAAACGCCGCGCAGAACAATGCGCTGGAACACAAAGCAGCGACACCGTGGTCAGCCTCTGAATCACAGGAATGCGCACCCTAGACGATGCAACCGCCCCACGACTGCGTGTAAATGAAAGAACCCCTACGCCACACAAACAGTGTGTGTCGATACAACGGCGACGGGGCCAGGCAGGCGCACTTAGACAAACCCCAGTGGCGTGCTGGGAGCGGAGGCGCTCAAGTACTCATCTACTGCAGCTGCTGCTGGCGGGCTCCATCACCATCGCTGATGGCGGCAATTGCAGGATGGAAGCGACTAGAAGCAGCTCGGTGGAACTAACTCGGCTGCGGGGAAGGGAGACTGGTACGGTTGTCGATGTCAGGTGACGATTCACAGCACATCGCCGCCGTTGGCACACAACGACGATTGACCGCCGGACATTACGATGAGATCTCGTCGTATGGATGGATCAGCGTCGATTTTGAATGTCCAGTCCCTCTGGGTTGTCCCCAGTCGGAGTGGACATAGACGACACCAATTCCTGACAGAATTGTCGTTGCGGCGAAGACTGAGGTTGCTGAATCGGACGTCCACAACGAGAAAACCCTTCTTCACTCTCTTTTACTTTCTCTCCATTTACTTTCTCTCCCCTACTTTTCCGTTTCCTTTCTTTCCCTCATTTTACTTTATCTATTTTTATCTTTCCCAGTTTCCCTGTTCACTCGTTAATCAGTTTGCTTTCCAATAATACTTATTTTAAATAGGAAAGAAAGAGAAAAAGGTGGAGTTCCAGATTCCGAGTTCGAATCCTCATGATTAGGAGGTTTCGCAAACAACAGGACATTTTATCCACGCCAATGCCACCTGCGATCCCTGAATTCCAAATGGATGAACGCAAGGATGGATGAATAGTAGAAGCTTTGTGGGATGAGGCAAGCTCTTTTAAAAAGGATTTGGCCAATAGAGATCCGGTTGATGACGTGACCCTATCCATGCGAGCCCCAATGTGGTGAACATGTGTCTACTAACTACCCTTCGAGGAATCCTTTTGTGAGGAGCCAATGAAGAAGTTAAGAGGGGGGCGAAAGGTGGTTTCGAGATCCTTTTTCACACTGTTATTCTTTTTTCTCATATTTTTATTTCGGATTGTGACTCTCCGTTGGAGTTAAGAGTATGTTGTACGGTTGGACGGCTGCCAAGCATGAATGTTGTGAGCGTGATGGATGAAAATTGATTGTTTGTGGATGGCAATAGATGAAAAAGAAGTGTATTCTTTCTAAAACTGTTTCTTTTATTTATTTATTTATTTTTATTGCCGTCAAGTTTAAAGGGGTGCGTGAAATTATAAAAGATGGAGCGTGATGTATTGAAAATTAGTTGTAATCAAAGTATTGTATATATTTATACCTATTTCATGTTAGATTGAATACAGATAGCTCAATGCTAAGAAATATCTGTTTGTTTTTATTTAATCAAAGAATATTACCTTTTGAAGTTGTGATCTACCATAGAATGATACACAGATCTTGTAAGAAATTGACTTTGAGCATTTTTAAATGTGGCTAAAAAAAAAAAAATTATGAAATATTCTTGCTTTATTTTTATTTTTTACTTATTATGCTGAATAATAAGAACCTATATTTAATACAACAATAAAAAGACTTGATTTTTTATGTTGTTTATACATTATTAAGATACAAATTTTAAAAATTAAATGACTTATTATGACTTATGTATATGTGGACATATATATATATATATATATGTAAACATATGCGTGCTTTTGTAGATATTATACTGTGAACATGCATTGCAATTATTCTCTTACGACTTGAAAGCCATATATCAGGGGACACCTAGAAAATGCTTCTGAGATTGCAAAACTTCAGAAGAAAAAAAAGAATGAAAGAAGGAGAATTTTATTTATAAATAAATAAAATAAATAAAAAAGCATCATTTACGCAAAGAGAAAGAAGTTGAGTTGTTTCTTCCGATGCAGACTCTAAGTTCGACAAGGGCCACGATTGTCCCTAGATGCAACACAACAAAAAGCACTGCCTTGTGAACACAGATGCAGCACCCACCACACCTTTTTTAACCTATCGGTGAAACTTCGACATCAACAAGCGTAAACTTTATTGCACAACAATTTGACTCTACATGGCCACGATTATAAAAACTCACACTCCATCCTCCTCCTCCCCCTCTACCACCCACTATTATATTACATCTTAAAGTAACCCAGCTGCAATTGTGGTGCTACTTCAGCACAGTTGAAGCTGCTTTGGGAAGCATAGCGTAGACTCAAGTACACTTTCGTGTTCCAGATCACTTGTGGGTTGCGTGAGCAGATGGATCATCTCACAGAAGAAAGGACTGCACATACGAACATTTGAAAAAGCCAAAAAAAAAGTAAAAAATCACCAGGAATCTGTGCTTGAGGGATGCATGAAAGACATTCTTCGGCGGCATTCTTATGAACCTTATACAGTGACTTGGAACAGTCCCAGTAGTTTTGTATTGATAGCAGAGTAACGCATGGCATGCTTCCACTGGTGATGAAGCATGGTGAATGATCCATGATTCCAGGGGGTGTTCTTCGAGAACCTCCACAGTTTCGCTTACTCGCATGTTTTCCATGTTTTGTTGGAGGTTGGAGGCAGAATTGAGTTAATGGACTTTCATGACACGATCATGTGCAAAGATCACAGTTTTAATGTTTCAAGGAATATTGCCGTCTGTTGGGCTAAGGGAGCATGCAGCATTTCGCCACTGTATCGTTCTTTAGTGAAACTGATACTGCAAAGAAAGGTAGGTGCTGTGGCAAATGCTCCCGAGCTGTGATCTATTCGAAAGTTCTTGGAACGGTCGAAAGTTTGTTGCAGGAAAAGACGACGGCAGGGTGCTATAATCCGAGACGCATGACATAGAGCATCCCGAACACAACGAATTCATGCATATCGTCAAGCATTTTTCGCACGAGACTTTGATTTCATGAAAGCAGCTACAAACAATTATATGTTGTCATCCATATAAGGGCGAATGGAGCTTCACTGTGGCCCTCAGTACACAAGTGCGTTGTAAGCTGATTGACTTTCTCGTGTATAATCGTTACTGAATGTTGCTCGACATGTTTTCAGTTTGAAGATTAAATGAGGACAATAGAGTGATGACTCGTGTTGCTACATTCTAAGCTGACCTTTAGGGGGAAAAGAAAAGGAAAGAAAACATAGTACAAGTTTATGTAAAACACGTAGAGGCAGTATTAGGGCGACTCAACTCCACCAGTCCAATAACCCTCTTGAGTTTGGTGCCTTTCTGGACTCCCTCGGCTCTTCCTCGTATTCCTGAAGTCTCTTCAACTCCACTGTAGACGCTGCTACAGCCCCTCTGGCCTGACCATAGTTGGGGTCCAGACGAAGAGCTTCTTCGAAGATCTCTTTCGCCTGAGCCATTATCTTTCGCCGGTCTTTGCTTCCCAAAGGTCGAAGACGGGAACGGTCGCGCATAGCTAATCCCCAATTTAGCAAAGCTGCGGAATAACATCAAATAAATGTAAGAAAGGACATATTCGATGAGGGGCTGGGAAAAAAATCGTGACCACACCTGTGCTGGGACGGCTCTTAGAACTAATCGCCTAATTACATTAACAACCAAAAATGGAAAGAAAAGTGTCCACACTTGCATAGAATAGATGTCCAGGTGTCAGCAGTAGGCTCATGAAATCGTTCTGGATTACTTACCCCCTGCGGCATACTCGTCACTGAGACCCATCATTGCTTCGAATTTGTCAATGGCAGCTAAGAAGACTTTATCTGCATCTTGAGCAGCTGTCTGAAACACAGCAAAATATGAAGCAAAACCAGGTGTGTGAGTTTCCATCACCTTTGATGACATTATAACACATGATACGAACTGGATAATAGAGTTTATGCTGTTCTTGCTCAACAGTTCGCTGTTTCGATAAATAAATTAAACTAAAAATAAAATAAAACAAAATAAAATAAAAACCGTGGTCAAGGCCTCTGGATTGCACCTATATATTCTATTTCCATACATTCAGGGGGAATCCAACTTATCTAGCAACAGATGATTCACTGGGTTGCTGGATGGCCATGGAGGAAGTAAAAAATAAAATAAAATAAAAATAAAAATAAAAAATAAAAACCTCTCCGCCTTCTTCAGCAATGAGTTGGCCGCGATAGCATAGGGCTAGCCCCCAGTTGTAAAGAGCACGCATGTCCGTCCGGTCCATAGAAAGTGCTAGACGATATTTTCGACCAGCCTCTACAAGCAGTTGCTCGCACTCTTCGCAAACATCTTGTAAGGTTGCTTCCAATTCCTGTAGCCACAACCCACATTTAATAAACGGTGAGATACATGAGCGGATTAAATTTCGGAATTTAAATTACAGCGAAAAATAAATCCAGCGTGAACAAACAGCGATCGCAGAAAATGTAAATCCAATTTATAATTTTGGATGTGCATGACTGAAGTCACAGTGCCGATAATCTACAAAACAAACATTCGCTTGGTGAGCTTGAGAATGCATGGAAGACATAATCAATCTGGAATGAGGCAGGGCCGGAACTAACCAGTCTCTCCTCCTCAGCTTCCCTAAATTCTCGTCTGTTCAATGACTTCGAGGGGGGGTCAGGTAGCATGCTTCGAAGATTCTGGCTAAACCGCAACTTGAGCTCTCCATGAAGTAAGAGTGTATTTCCCCATAAGCCCACCGCTATGAGACTGGAAGGCCTGCGCAGCAACAAACATGTGGCTAATTTCAGTGGCAATCAATGAAGAGTTCTAAACATTGAACAAAATATATTAAAGACATGACGTGTTAAGTGCACTTGCTCTATGAAGAGTGGGATTTCGCTAAACATGTGGGATAGAGTCCACGAAGTGATGGTACTTCAAAATATTACAGACGTAAAATGAGCGAGTCTTGATACTGTAAATGTAGGTAAACAGAATGCCTTACTAAGATAATTCATGCTTGAGATGACTTTACTGAAGTAAAGCACTTCTTCCACTCTAATCTCCGAAGATCTTATGAAAGAAACAGCATATGACACATTTAGGGTTACTAAATTGAAGGTAATAAAAGTATATACCTCATCTCAAAGGCCTTTGCACAGAGATTGGCAGCTTCGTATAGCATGCGATCTGCTACATCCACTTCAATACGACCTTCAAGGCCCTCCCTTCCCTCCTTCAACAAAGCCTCGACTTCATCAATTATTTGTCGGAATGCTTCATCTCCTGGCTTTGGGGAGTTTGGCCCAGGGAGGTTTTGGTATGAGTCAGTTCGTTCTGAAGGATACGACGGACCTGCAGGAGGCGGTCTTTTATCTTGAGAAGTGGGTGATTCTGCCCCACTGTCTCCACCCGAATCATAATCCAAATCTGAGTTTCGAAAGGAGGCCTGTCGTCTCTTGCTACCATTACCCCCTGTAAAATTTGCCTCGTTAAAATCAAGCAGAGTCCTATTGTGCAAAATTGAAGTTGGGTCTAGTATATGACATGTCCTGCACAATATCTAAGGAGGTAGAGGACATAACAGCAATGACAATAGAAGTGGGTGAGAGGAGACGCCGCGTTCCGAAACACGCTATTCTCAACAAAAAAGGGAACTAGTCTCCCATACCTCAAATACGTTTAAAAATTCTTGACAGACGTAATTGATCTAAAAATGATGGTATTGAACACTGCATCTACGCATTCCAGGCAGCACTCTAGATGCAAACTCTTTCATGAGGCATTTCCTTGCCTGTTTCTTTTGATTTTTTGTTTTAAATTTGAAATTAGCAGAGGATACTTCAGATTACAGCTTCAGGATACTAGTGCTTATACAGCATGCCAGAGCATTCTGTGGCAAACCAACTTTCAGTATCATATTCGGAAATCTTAGTACCTTTATCAGTGTCACTAGAACTGCCATTACCACCGAAGTCCGCACCTACGGAATCGGAAGGACTTTCACGCCGCCGACTTTGACCATAATCGGTCTTGCTGGAAGATCTTTCTTCACCTTGAGAGCGTGTCGTTCCTCTGCTGTTGAAAGAATCACCAGGTCACTACGTGTTTGTTCAAAAATGCAACTTACATGAAGTCAATAAGCCTTACAGAACTTCCCTCCAGAGCGGGAATCTCACAAAAGTTGAAGGTACAAAACAAGCTCAACATAGTTGTAGAAAACTAACCTGCCGACACCTGAACGGTCATTCGCTTCATAATCATCCCACCCAGCATCTGATTGTGAGGCTCGTACCACCAAACTCTCCGCAGGTTTAGGTTTTGTTTTGGGCAGAGTCACAGCGTATACAGCAGATGGATCTGTGCCATTCATAATCCTCTTTAGCCTTTGAATATTTGGTCGTGAAACAGTAATAGGAACTGCTCTATAGTTTTCCGAGCTCTCCATTACGTATTCGCTTGACCTGCTAGTTGCGATCCTCATAGCTTTTCCATCTGACGTATCTTGCCTCTGACCATCAAACTTGCTATACACTGTTTCCATTCCCTGTGCAGACTTGCCCCTAACAACAGTATCCTCTTCAACTCTGTTACGAACTGAAGAAGAAAGTCTAGATTTCGTAACTGCTGGCTGGACTACGGTTTCCGCACCATTCCTTGTAGTTTTGGGTATTTCTACAGCTGTGATATTCTGCTTTGACTGCATTGGCTCTTCAGTTGTAGTTGCAACATCTTCTTGTGGAACCCTAACTCCAGCATCTTGAAAGAACAATTCCATCGAAGTATCTCCAACCTGTGTATTGGAAAATTTGAATAGAGTAGGTTGACTGAGGCTCATCCTGCTGCTTTCAGCTCCATTCGGGACCGCCATAAAATTACTTTCTACTAACGAAACTTGGTCTTCTCTAACGTTACTGTCATACTCCGAAGGTAAAATTACATCGACTCTGTTCGACGTCAGCGGGGTCTTTGAAGATTGAAAACCTGGCACATCAAATGTACAAATAGCTTGGGATACTGAGCTTTATATTTGTAGACATAATACGGATTGTTTCTGCAATCATCACAGCCAAGTTAACTGATAGCTAAATTGTCAAGATATAATGATCACCTGAAACAACACTGTAATCTCACCTTCGAAAACTTGCGATTTGACTTGATTTATATTCTCGTCCTTGATCACCGCCTCTTCCCACTTCAACTGAGCTCCGCTTCCGTTAACAATCAAATCCTCATTCCTATATGCTCCATTCTGCAGTGGCTCAGTATTAGTAAAGTATGCAGTCGAAGTATTTCCAACCTGTTCCATAAAAGGCTTAGACTCTTCCGAGCATTCTTCTAAAACCCTTGTTGTGTCTTCCTCCACGAACTTATTACGTTTCGAGTAACCAAGAGTGAGAATTTCAATCTTAGCCGCATTATCAGAAGCAACTTTCTCCATACTTGATATTTTGTTGTCTAGGTTTGCAACAACCATAGCCAGCTGAGCAACAGATTTGGATATGTCCAACAAGGTTGTCTCTATTTCTAAAGATTTCATTTCATTTGTTTCCTCCCTACGGTTTTCTTCCTGACTCCTTTGAGAATGCTGGGTTGCCGGAACCGAGGCTGATTCACCGTCACGGATGGTAACCGTAGCGCCATTTCCTGTTCCCTGCATTAAAAGGCATTTCAAACTAAAAGTAAGAAGACCTAATGTGGGGATATGCAGTTCAAGAATCTAGAATTCATCTCGAACAACATTTCGATGCACGTCTCCAGAAACCAAGAATGTAGCCAGATTACATGTTCTCCAATTTTCAAGTATGCCGACCAAGATGAGATGCAAGAAATTTTCTTACCCAAACTAATACATTGCTACGGATGCTTGAAAGTTGGATAGCCAAGGCTTCTTGCACGGCATTGAACTGCGCCAACAGTGACTCACAGCGATTCGCAATTTGATTGCGAAGTGCAATGCAAGTTGCTGTGAGAAACGCACAAGAGAGAAATCCTAGTGAAACCCCTGTAGCACCGTTCCTGCAAACTGCCAACGAAACAGAAACCAAAACACCTAACGCCATAGCCAGAAGCTCGAGACCTCCTTCCGGTTGCAGGAACCCACTCCGTGACCAAGTCGAATCCTCTTCGTAAGACTCTGTCTCCCAACTCTCGTAGGGCCATGATACGGATGCGGGGCAAAGAGGCTGAGTGTAGGGTATGTTCCGCAAGTATTGAGATTGTCTAAGATTTTTTAGAATCAAGGAATTCGACTCTGAAAATCTGTGTGCACTCAATCCTGGAAAGTCAGGAATTCGCGAGGAGCGAAACTTTCTGGCGAACTGAGATTGCAGGATTGTAAGACCAAGCGTCCCAGTGAGAGTCCCCATCGCCAGGGATCCCTAGAAAATACCCCCAGAGCCCCAAATTGATAATTACTCCTCACTACCTGACTAGAGCTTTCCGGCGAAGGCTAACATGGCCGACGTTACACTAGAAGCACTAAATCCACTCCACTGGAAAACAACAACTTCCAATCTTCCAAATTCCCCTATCCTCAATTAAGAAATTCACATACAAATCGTCCAACTCACCAACTCCACACCCTAGTTTCAAAATTTTGTAGAAACCCAACGGAGCCTGATCACAGAAGCACCACAACCTCTGGATTATTGCACAAAATTCATGCTCCTTTAACGTGAGCTGGAGCCAGCAGCCTCAATCCTCAAGTAGCGACGTCCTTCGAAGAACCGCAAGTGCTGAGGGACGTATGTTTAAACACATAAAAAAAAATCTATTCAGACAAAAGGATGGCCGACGATAAGTAACAAGAGATTGCTGCTGCAGATGGAAAGAGGTGGGAGTGGTTGGGATTGGTGCCCACAAGGCTTACGGAAATCGGGAACAAGTGGAAACAGAGCAGCTGTGGTGTGGACAAGCTCCTGGAAATCCAACATTTTCGCATTCACACACACACACACAAAGTCACTTGGTTGTGGGTGTTCACTATTTTAAGGACCCTTTGTTGTCCCTCTTTCTCCTTCGGATTTTTGTTTTCATTTTCTGCCCTGCAGCTGACATTGAATTTCGTCGCAGAAAATGCAGTTAAATGTGCACTGGGTCACGATTGTTTCGTGTATATTCTCAACGAGCCTTAGGTGATGATGCACTGTGAAGTTTGTTCCTGTGGTTTACAGTGGAAGAGGTCGTGTCATTGAAGACAGCAACTGCTAGCTTTGAATTTGAAAGACGATGTGCAATTGGAGAAGTCCATATTAGGGTTGGCAGCTGTAGGGGTTCCAACTAAAGGTGGGGAGATGAAGAAGGGATGGCACGCCGTATTGCTTAGCCCTAGTGACTCAAGGCTTACATCCGAACCAATCGATTCATCAAGTTCAATAGGATTGATGTTGATACCTTGAGTAACCAATCTTGTAGTTCTAATTAGTTTTGTGAGGACAATGTGAGGTAAGGCAAGTTCCATTGCAATTGCCACAACCATGGGATTTATCATTATTATAATTATTATTTTGACACGCCAAGGAAGTTAATCTCTTGGGCAAGAGTTTCCATTAAGCATAGAGGGAATTTTACTGCTCGAGATCAAACCACCAACCTCAGCATTCACTTTTGGTACCTCAATGCCATCACAAGGTCTAAATGACATAGGGTCATCTTAGACCTTCATGGGGGAATTTGGAGGATTGGAATCTCATCTAACATTAGCATAGATATTTTAAACATATGTTTATTGGAATGAAGAGTTGGATATGTTTAAAGAAAATTAGATTGCTTGTTTAAGTTGTTAATCTAAGAGTGATAAAAGTGGCACAAGATAGTCGAAAGAAAGATGCTATATTTTAAAATAAAATGGTGTAGTTTGATAGTTTAAAGCAATAAAAAGGTTAAACTTATTGACTTTATTTAGAAATGAGTCTAGTACACTATGGATATTAGAGCTTCATTTACTATATGGCATAGGCTTTGTAGCATACATTCTATTTTTAAAAGCATAGAAATAGTTGTTTTAATAAAAGATTATGTCCTTGCTTAATACTCCCCTCTTAATACTAACTTGATGTTTGCTTGTTTGCCTTTGAGTATTATATTCATCTATAAGTTAGAATTAAAGATCCTTTTACAAAATTGATTGTTTGCTACATGTAGGTTTTATAGCTCTCATTTTATACTACTTTGTTCTATTAGATAGTGCTAAAGTTCTTTCATTGTGGCAACTGTGTTGGTGGTGAACATACACCATTAAGAATTTCAAGTATAATATAGTATAATAGATTTTAGTTTTATTTTTTCTTATTTTTTGGATTTTATAAACATCAAAAAATTCTATAATTTTTTCTAAATTATTATCCTAATTTTTTATTAAAATATTCTATTTTTAGTATCGTAAGTAAATAAATAATTACAAAGAGACAATAGAATTCATAAATATTTAATTAAAAACTTTGTCAAGAAAGAATATTTGATCTCATCAAATAAATAAATTGGAACATCTGTCCAACATCATCTTATTTACACTACAACATATATATTTAGCTCGGATAAGAAATTGACACCTCTTAAACTTAGATCTTAATACTATTTTTGCATATATATATAAAGATATAGATATATATTTACAAAATTTGCTACAATAATATGTTGAAGTCAAAAGGCTTGAGATTCCATAGGCATAGTTAAAACATAGAAATGTTACATAATGTTTTTAAAAAAATAGTTGAAAGCAAATAAATCATCCATCTTAATTTTGGTTGGATCTCTTCTATTAACAAACAATATACAAAAGGTGCTATCTTATAGACAATAAAAATTGAAGTTAGTCCAAAAATGGACAAAAACAAATTTTGACAACCTAAAGAATATAAAAAAATAAAAAATATAATTTTAAATGACAAATAAAAACCTATATTATAATTTAGCCTATTTATGAAATTAATATAAAATTAAGAGTCATCTTACATAACAAGTAAGAACTAAATATTTGTATTAAATTAAATATATCTATATATAAGTTGTATAGTAATATTTGTGACATTGATATCTTCTACATTTAAGAGCACAACATATAAGAGAAAAAAAACTGAGAATTAAAAATAAAAATTAGAAAAATCGAAATGAATTTTTATTTTAAGATTATAAATAATTTAAAGACAAGTAGAAATATAATAGCTATGTGGATCATTTCAAGATTGTCTCAATAAATTTGCGAGAATAAAAAAATTCAATTAGGATGCATATAATAGGTTTGTTCTTTAAAACTATTGCAAAAAGATGTTTGGTTTGTATGCTCCAAAATCAATTAATAACCAATGATTATTATAGAATAAATTTTTAGGAATTGCATATAAATCAATGTTAAGAATTAGAATTTTATTGAAAGAGTATCTATAATATTTATTTCTAAAAATAATAATTAGCAATTAGACATAAAAGAATTATAGATATTTTAGACAAAATTTCTATATATATATTTTTACTATTAACATACATACAAATTATAGTGTATTAAGAAATAGGTTATATGTCAACTGTCTCTTTGTTTAGAGAATCATTAATATTAAACACAAAACAATGCATATTTTAATATATAAAGATTATTTATTAAAAGATGCCACAATGTAAAAGCTTATAAAAGAGCTATGTATGTATGTGTATATATATATATATATATATAATTTTAGTAAATTATAAATATACTTCAAAAAAATTAGATAAATAAAAAATCTCTAATTTGAAAAAATAATATTGTATGGCTTATTAAAATGAAACAGCAAAGTTACAAACTTATGCAATATTACAATTAAAACTCAAGTAGAAATATATGCTAATGTATTTTACAAACTTAAGTTGGTTAAAATAACATGTAAACAACTTTGCAATCAAGTTCAGTGAGAACACACAAGAGATAAATAATTAAATTACGTACCTTGTAGACCAAAGGAAAGAACTCACTCCAATCAATTCACCATCAGATATTTTTATTACTCTTATTCTCAAAAATCTTATAAAATCATAATTTTTTTAAAAAATATAAAAAAATAAAATCAAGCAAGCATTCAATTAAACTTTTGTGTGGCTTCTAAAGTACATGTATAAAAATGAATATAAAAAAAAGAAAGATGAAACAAGGAAAAATTAAAAATAAATAAATCAAGCAATTAAAGTATCAGACATTAATAGAAAAAACTAGAATTTTATGAAATATTTTGGTGTAATTATTATTTTTAAATATAATTAAAAATAGAATTAAAATAATATATTCTTAAAAGTACTCAATAATAACATATCAGATTTATTTTGCAATGGATTTCTACATCATATATTTACTAATTAGATACTTGTAGTTTTTCTAAATAGGAGATAAATTTTTTTTAAAAAAGTAGTACAATTCCAGCTCAAATTATTGTTAACATAATTTATTTTATAAACAAATCATATTTTCTATAATTTTTTTAAAAATAAAATAACTAATAATTAAATAAATAATTTAATGAAATAGAAAAACCTCCGTTTTGCATCAAATTCAACTTCGTGGAGGCCTAATACATATTAAATCTTGATTTTTTATTCAATATACTATAATTGATGGTTTTTGAATTAGAATTTAAACAGACGGTTCATTTTTTATTTTTATTTTTATTTTTGAAATTTTAGATCTTTTTCAGAATTTATTTTATTCAAAAAAAAATTCTTTCTCTTTTTATATTTTTTATAATTTTTGTAAAAAATACTAATAAAAATATATATATATATATATATATATATTTTTTTTCTATCTTAAAAGGGTATCAATCTACAATTAATTCTTTGATATTTAAATGCATTAATTTTTTATAAATTAATAATATTACTTATTTAGAATAATCAACATACAAAAAAACTTATAACATGATTTTTGTTACTATCTTAATTTACCTTTTATTTGACATCACTTCTTAAAACAACACTCAGCAAGACTTTGTAGGATTGGTTTATAAATTTCAAATATTCACAGAGAACTTAGTTGGTTTATTTTAGTAGAAGCAATAAATATCAAATTTGGCTTCCTATCATACAATGTATACTTAAAAAATGAAATTCCTATTACAGTGTAATCTTTAAAAAATATATTTATAAACTTTATTAATAGAAAAACTTAGAAATTTAGATAAAACAAGTAGATTGTACTCTCTATGTAAGAATTGTCTACTTGACTAATTTTCATTTGTAAAATTAGTTACACTTTTATTTTAAATTGCAATATAGTAGAAATTTCTCTATATATAAAAGCATATTTATAAAAGCCTAGTATTAGCATGTCATATCAAAATATCAAAAATATTAAAGACAATAGTAGTTTCTTAGAATACCATGATAATAATCTTGTATACAATACAGAAGATTAGATTTAAAGAATTATAATCATTAATCTTATAAAAGTGCTATTTTTTATGTATTCTATTAATTTATAGAAAATTAGACTTTGGACTTATAATACTCAAATGATCTACAAGAAAAATATCATTTATGAGTTATAAAATCAAATTGGATCAATAGATACTAAATGAATAATATAAAATTTCTCTAGTAGTAAAAATTAATAAAAAATGGACCAACATCCTTCTTTAAGACTATCATATTTAATTATTAAATATTAAGAATATCAAAAGAGATTGAAAAGAAGTTGATCTTTTTAACATATTTTGAATAAAGATTTGGTGATTATCAAATGAAAAAAATCAAGTCATCAAATAATATCTTTATTAACAAAAATTAAAAAATGATTTCTTTAGTATGCATTGCAAGTAAATTATGGATTAATATTTACCAATTTTAAAACTACCATTCTATTAAAAATATATGAATGTAGTGCATCAATATTTTTGAATTAGTTGTGTTAATCTAAAGCAAATTATTATTGCACAATATTTAATACTTTATCTTAAAAAATAACATTATTTGCTACTAAGTATCAAGGAGATTTGTCTTTATTAATTAGTCATATTTAATTTTTTTAAAAATAATTATGTAAAATATTTAGATCAATCTAATGGTAATGTTTTAAAAAAGGTGTATAAATTTTTATCAAAATATATTACAAAGATTGATTGAAGATGACCAATTATGGCAAAAATGCATGAAACATGTTTATATAAAAATAATACCAATGAAAGCCATAAAATATACCAAGATATACAAAATCATTTAGAATATATGATATAGATATAATATTTTTATAAAAAAAATTTAAAAAAATCTTATTAGGACTTCTTTAAATACAAAGACATAGCTAGTACACAAAATAATAATATTGTATCACTAATTACACTCTTATATGTAATTAGTGTGTATTACACTATTTATAAAGTACCTCTAAGACATGAATGTCTAATTTATAGTGGATTTTACACTAATTGGTAACACACACTATTTGAATTTACATACTAATTATGGATAAGAGTGAGTACATTTTTTTTTGATAAATAAGTATATTTTATTAAAGTGTGCTAGTTGCTTGACCAAAGTACCACATGTTATTACAATAGTTCTCAGATAAGCACTTGGGCTTTTATAGTTTTCCACTTACTTTACAACTAGAGAGCCCTATCCTATGAATAGTGTATATTATACTAATTAGGAATACAAACTATACAAGTTTACACACTAATTACAATAAAGAGTGTAGTTATTTAACACATTTGCTAATCATATCACAGCACCTCCCTTCATTAGTAAAATGATAGAGTCCTCCACATTTCTCTTTTCCTTTGCAATAAAATTTCACTTTATTTGTGTTGGAGAAGAAAAAGCAAGGGAAAAGAAAACATGGGCACTACTGTTACAATTGATGTACGCACGAAGGACTGGACAAGACCTGAGATACAGGGTATCAGCATCCTACAGGGGTATCACTTCAACCAACGAACGAAATCTCCGTCTTAACGCATATCATTTAGGAATCGATGGATCAATATTTTTGAAATTAGATGATAGATTCTACACATTCATTCTCCAAGACTTGAAACTGCACCATTCTGGAGATCGACGTCGACGAAGCAAGAATCGATTCTCGGAGCATCAGAATCTGTTCACGAGCATTTGTAGATGTATCTCCGGTTTTCGGAGATTCTAGCTCACAGAATATTGCAATCTGATGCTCGTAACAGAAAATATGGCAGTGTGGCAATGACGTGAACCGATGCTTGCAAAGCTTCGATTCTCTCGATGCACGGTGTCGGAGTTTACGAGCTCTGAACTGCAAATGTTGCAGTTACACTTGGCAGTCCAGCCGAACGATCTCCCGCTTTCAGCGATAAATCATAGGTGTGCTGATAAAGCATCTCTAATGGGTGATTCTGTTTGCCTCCGCTCTGCCAGGAATGTAGTGTGTTAGCTTCATCAACCCGCCATTACAAACTCCTCATCTTCCAGCTTCAGCGTCTCGCTGAGTGTGCTGTTACTGTGTTTTTGAGAAGTGGGTGTATGTGGTGAGCAGCAGTCGCTGTAGCTATGAACGCAGTTCCGGGGCCGAGCTTCTCTTCGCGGTCGTTTTGGACCGGAGTTACAAGTTTTGTAAAGAATGGGGGGGTTCCCCAGCGATGGAGAGCGGCGGCTGGTGCGGGAGCTGGGGTTGTTGGCCTGGGGCTAGCATTGACAAGACCCGAGGTCGCCCCACATAGGAAATTGGCTGCTGAGGAGTTGTGGAGGGGTTTGAGTTCGTGGAAGTGTGATGTGTCGCGTTTTGCGTCTATTGCTTGGGCAGAGCCCGTGGAGGAGGTACTGTATCATCACTCCAGGTTCTTTCGAGCTTTTGAAATGATCTTGTGTTCTTAATAGATTTTCATGTTCAAATTCGCGTCGGGGACGTACTGTAGAAATTGGGGTTTTGAAAATTGCCATTTGCTGAAATTTTATGAGCCATGGAGACCCTGTCTCTGGGTTGGAGGAATTATAAGTAAATATTAAACCTGATGTCACACTTTCATTTTCACTGAGTTGTTTGGGTTAGGGCGTGTATTGGCAGGCCGATGTACGAGTCATATGTGATGTTTAATCTGTGCGGTAATCGTTGTGGATCTCGTTGGGTACATTGTCATATTTGTGTGTCATAACATAGATGGAGGCGGCCATGACATACAATTTGTTTGATTTGCATGGGAAATGTTCTGCAATTTGCCTCTTAAGGTTTTGTGACGAGACCGCTGAATGATTATGTGGAAGGAGGGTGACTATCTGTTAAATCTAGTGCACATCTCTTGGATTTATTCGTCTGTGAATATGTAGCGATGACTGGCTCAGTTGTCTTATGCCCACTAAACCGCAATTTGAGTCATTTGTATGCTCTGTGTCTCCTGCTCACCATTTACTTCGAAAACTGAAGATGCTGGCAAAAATTTTGCTACATGATTTATATGCTTCGTGGATATCTCGAACTGATTGATTATGGGGAAATTGGGTTTGTTAGGTTGTGGAGCCAAGCACTGGAATGACGTTCCCAAGTGTTGTGGAGGAGGGTCGGTTATTCACTGGTACCGGATTACGGAAGAAAAGCATATTAGGATTGAAGAAAATCACTGTGTATGCCTACGGTAAGTGCTTTTCACGTAGGAGGATATCACGCTACGCTACTCGACTTCACTGATAGGTATCCTCAGCGAATGTTTTCTGCTTTTCATCAGCTACGATCGAACGACAATATCCAAGGGTCTACAGTAGTGGTGAATGAAGGTGCTTTGGCAAAACAGCATTTATGTTTTGGCCAACGAGGAAATTAATTTACTTATGTTTGTCTTCAATATGGTCTGGCAGGCGTGTATGTCGACCCAGCAAGTCTGAAATCCCAGCTAGGGAACAAGTATAGCAGTGAAAATCCTGAGGAACTGAAGAAGAACGAAGAATTTTATGACGATGTGATGGTAAGCGATGTGGGTCTCACAGTCCGGCTCGTCATTGTGTACGGGAGTTTGAAGATCGGAAGTGTGCGGGGCGCATTTGAAGAGTCTGTAGGCAGTCGAATCAAAAAGTTCGGAGGCGCTGCGAACATCGAACTTCTTCAAAGGTTTGACTCATCCTTTATTTGTCTTTGAGTGCGCACTGTGTAAAAGTGATGTCTTTGATAAAAAAACGAAGACTTCATTTAGGAACTGTCTGGCGTCAAATACACACTCACGAAGGATAAATCAAGTGTTGTGCACAATGGGTTTGACACGCCTTTTCGATGAATACTGAATAATTACATACTACAACACAGGAACATTGAGGTTCATGACTTCTTTGCTACAATTCACTTGATTTCAGTACAGTCAGCATCCGCAGCGACTCTTTAGTGTTGAGTGTTATTAAGTTTCTGTGTTAAGCATTGAATGACTTAGGACAAGCGCATGGTACGCATCCGAAATGAAATGACTACGTGGTTGTGATGCCACTGCTTTAGGTCAAGCGCTGATGGTTGGAAAAGATAATATTGTTGGAGCAGTGTATTCTCTCTAAGTATCCTTAGTGAAATTATTCTGTTATGTTCTTCCTCATAATCAATTAACGAAATTACACTGCTTCTTCGTAGGTTCACTGGCGCGTTCACTGATGACATCAAGCTGCCAAAAGGCACGATCATTGACCTTACTCGACTTCCCGGAAACGTCCTCCAGACGAAAAGTAAGTATCGTGCTTTCAATTTTAAATTCAATGTTTTACATCTTTTACACGTGAAATTTAGCCGTCCATTTAAAGGATAAACCCACCTTACTGAACGTATTCATTCATGTGTGTATGACAGTTGATGGGACCGAAGTTGGTTCTGTGCAAAGCTCCCTGCTATGCCGGTCGCTTTTTGATCTCTACATTGGCGATGATCCCTTCGACAAGGAAGCGAAGAAGCTAATCGGTCAAAATCTGGCTTCTTTGCTTTGTTGACAGTAATAGTGGAATAAAGCCTCAGGTCAGATCCTTATAGTTGCAATCTTAAGTTCAGCAGCTGGATTTTTCTAACAGTCAAAAAATCACTTCTCGATGAAAGAAAGTTATTAGCATTTCAAATTTGATTTGGCTTATGTGAAACTCACGTTTTGAAGAGCGATCTGCTGCCGAGTAACTTGGTGATAGTATACAACATCCCTCTAAACACGCGAGAGACCTATTCATGTCCTCTACTGTACAGCATTGCGGATGTCGATAATATCATCTAGCAACTTGTAATAGATAACTTGATTGTGACACTCATCAAAGATGCATTAGTGTCACCAGTGGTCAGTTTTCTGTTGGCGTTCATGTTCTTTTGTTACGTGTACATACATGTACACACGTCAGCAAAAAGTTCTGGAATTGCATGGAAATACGATTCTAGCCTGGAGCCCGACTCCAGTGGTGCGGCGGTTGGTCAACGGCAAACGTTAGTTCTCTGTTCCGGGTTGCTGATCGTTGCTTTTCTTGGCGGTGTGGTACTACGTTCCCCCGTTGCTTTGTGTTTTGTGTTGGTGCTGGTGTTACTGGTGGCCGAGGAAATCTGGATTTAGCGTTATTGTTCCGGTGTGAGAGCTGCTCGTCTTCGACGGTGGTCATCACCAACCACTATTCCGTGCTGTTGGTCGAGACAAGCGGCGAGGCTGCTGGCCTAGTCATGGAACAACTGGGGTTTTTTTTGGTGCTGCGTCGGTGGTGGTGTCGCTGCGGAAAGGCTAGCTATCTCAGTGTGTGGTGCTAGAGCTACGGGAAGGTGCAGAATCTTTGTAGTCTTCTTCCGTTGGAAGTGGACTTGAGGTGTGTGAAGCGAGCGTGAAGGTAGTGATCGACGTATTCCAGTTGCTGTCGACGACCTTGTTAAGTTGCTGCGCTAATCTTCACTGGCTCAGCTTCGGATTGTATTGCGCGTGGACTAGAAGCTCGAGATCTTGTGACGTGGTGGCATTCTGGATTTACCCTCTCTTGCGTTTCGTTGGAGCGGCGTTTTCGTTGGGGCACGGCGGCTGTAGCCGCGGTTACCATTCGGCATCGATTTTTTTATTTTATTTTATTTTATTTTTGGAGGTGTAGGGTGGTTCCAATCTGAGGCTGTAGAGGAGCCGGTGGTTAGACGACTTGCGGTGGTGTTGCATTTGCTCGTCCAGGTTCTGTCATTTCTGGTCCTGCGATTGGCGACGGCATCGAGCTCATGGTGAAGTCTTCCTCAAGCAGGGGTTGCGACGTTATTTTTGTTGTGTTCTCTCACTGCGAGGAGTGTTTCCGTATCCGTTTTTCCCCTCGGCATTGGTTCTTGTCGCTGTATAACGGCGGCTGGTCTTTCCTTGCGGCAAAAGGTTTGGTGGCGTCGACTGTCGACGGCTCTGGAGTTCGAATCGTTCGATCATCCGAAGCGTTTTCTGCCCACTTGGGGCTTGGCACTGTTGTTGGCAGTCAGAATCGAGAGCAGTCTTCTTCATTGCCTCTGTAGAGCACGAACCGGATCTGTGCTCCGCCATCGTCAAATATTCATCTATCGGCTTTGTTTTTGTTTTGTTTAAGACTGGATTTGCTTAATTTGGTGACCTGCGGCATTGGCTATACGTGTTGCAGTGCCCTAGTTGTCGTTGCAGGGACGTAGTCGGAAGGTTGGAGCAGATCCGAGGTTGAGAGGATTGTGTGAGTGTGAAGATTGGTGCGGGGGTTCGGAAGAGTGAACAACTTGGATCATTAATCGTCGACGAGCAAATTCATGATCTTGCAGCTAGACAACGGCGGATGTTCCAACCATTTACACTTCACGTTATCATCTGTTATATCATGTGTTTGATCGCCGTGCTGCGCATCATAACGTCGACTTTGCTATTGGGTATTCTTGTTGCTCTGCGGCAACTTCTAGTGTTCGGCTCGTTGTCTACATCTCCAGATTTGTATGGACACGGCAGAGGCGAATCCACAAGTAGAACGTAGTCGACCGCAACCCAAGTTGGTGGCCTGTATGGATCTGCGATTTTCAAGTGCCTAGCAGAAAGAATTAAGTAGAATAGAAGGTACTCTAGAATAGAATAGATGTGTTGAAGGAATCTCTAGAGAAGAATCTTAGTAATCCTCATACTATAGCCACTCCTCGGCAAATTGGCTGAGGCAGTTGTGCAAGGACCGCACATTGTGGCGTCTATAGGAATAATCTGGAGAGCGTGCTGCAGCTGCTCCAATTGTTGATATCTTACGCTACAATTCACAAGATCACCTCAAATTTCAACTGGCGTGCTGTACTCCACGAATTCAGCGTCTTGATTTGGTGCTGTTCTGCGATTGCCTCTTCTGTTCAGGCTCGTCTTCGACTTCGTCTGACTTGGTGAGATTTCCTAGGGTGGATGAAATTAGCTTGGATGAAGTACATTAGGGTTGTAAGCAGTTAGAGTTCGACCGAATTAGTGCCTTTGGATGAGAATCTTTGTTGGATGCGAATTTTTATTGAATGAGAACTTATTCTTGGATGAAAACTCATTCCCAGATGAATTCTCATCTCCAGATGAATTCTTGCTAACACATGAATTATGAAAAAAAATAAAGAAAAATAAAATTATTTATGCATAATTTTTGTATGACTTATATTTTAATTGTAATTGATAGTGAAGAGTTATAATGATTAATTGGGTTAATCGAGAGAATTCAAAGGGTTAATTAGCAAGAATTAAATAATAATTACAAATATTTTTATACATAGATATATTTATCATTGTGAACTAGAATAAACTTCCAACTAGTAGAGGTTTATTTTAGCTCACAAATGGTTAGTATTGTTGATTAAGATTTGAGGTCTTGTAAGAAGAGTTGTATTGAACACATATTGGTTGAAGTGTGTTGGAGGTAGGTTTTAAAGTTGATATATTATATATATATATATATATATATATATATGTAATGTATTATGAGTTTCAAAAATGAAGGAATTGGATACAATCAACTTAACATAGATTTTATTCATATGAGTTTGATGGAATATGTAAAAATTAGATGCTAGGAGATCAAAAAAAAATTTAGTGATGTGTTTTGATACCAATCTAGGCATGTAAATATTTGATGAATCACTTAAATATATGTGATGATTATTTTTAATCGTAAGTAATTAAATACCAAGTAATTATAATATAAAATATCAATAATAAAAAATATTTTTGTAAAATTATGAAAATATATAAAAAAATGAAAAGGTAATAGAAATTGAATATAGTAATTAAGGAAATATGTTGTTTTGTTTTTTCATGAATAGTGTTTTTTGTGTTGAGTGCAAATTAGTTGTACATAATTATAAAAAGTTGGACAAGAAATAAAATTTTGATTGCTATTGGATGGTAATACTTAATGAAGATAGGAAGATAAGGTATTATCTATAAGTAAATGGAGAAGAATGTAAGAATAGATTAAAAAGAACATTTATAGAATATAATATCAATTATAAGATGATGTAAATAATAGTTTAGAAGTTGGAATTTGATGTAGTGATTTGTGTAGTTTGTGAAGCTATAAGTATGTACATGAGAAAAGATCTGGTTTAGAGAGTAAAATAATGATGAATAGTAGAAAATTATTGTTTGATTTTTAGTCCAATTTACAGAATTAAAAATGATTTTCACTAATATTTGAAGTATTTTGAGTTGTGAGTTTTGATATATTAGAAAAGTGGATTTTTAATATTATTGATTACATGTAGTACTTAACATAATTGAAAATAAAGATTTAGATCTAACCAAAATATGCATTGATGTAAGATGTACAAATCTTAATTCTTTTGTTTGTCACGTTTATGTGTCTTGATTTTGTAATTAAGGATTAGACTTGAATATTTACAAGTGATCTATCATGGCTAATTGCACAATTGGTTGTTTGGAAGGACTTTCATCAAGGAAAGATCTTAAGAAAGTGCAAAGTATTTATTTGCAATGTCAAATCTTGATTAAAAGAATGGAGGATTTATTGAAGACAAAATATATGTTAAATAGAAATCAATGTATAAATTTGCATATGCAACTTGTCCAAGTAATAAAAGTGTTTGATAAGGTATTAACTTATGATGATAACATTAAAAAGTTGTAGCTCATATTTGTTGAGATGTATGTTGTGGTAAGTAAAAGCTTCTTATTATTAGAAAATTATGGAGATGAAAAATGTTGTGAAACAACTATCTTTTAAATAAAGAACAAAGAAAGAATTAATGAAATTCTTTTAGATTTGGTTCTTTATTGCAATGCAACAAGTGATGTTATGACAATGCACTATTCAAAAGAATTTGAAGGCATTGCATATATTATGTATAATGTTGCTACATTTGATAAAGTTGAAGGAGATGATGCAAGGTTGATTGATGGAAGCAAAGATGATTGTTTTTAAAGAATGTGGATTAACTAAATATCTATTGTAAAAATGGAAAGCCTTGACTTGCATTGAAGGTAGAGAATTGGATGCTTTAGAACTTTCAAACAATATTGACAGCTTAAAAATTGGTGATTACATAGGCAAAGGTGCAAGTAGAAAAGGTGTAAAATCAAAGTGGTTTGAAATGTGGAATGCCACAAAGATAATAGTTGGTACCTTTGAAAAACACATTTCTATTGAAGTAGACATTTTAGCACGTTTGAGCCATTCCAACCTTATGCATTATTTTTTTGCTACAAAAGTAAAGACCAATAAATTTCGTAAGAGTTGCTCCATGGAAGGAAGAAATGAAACTTTATATTTAATAAAAGAATTAATGGACGTGAATTTGATTGATTTTTTGAAAGAAAAAAATCAATGGCATTTTCTTTATTCATTGATATTATGTATCAAGTTGCAAAAAGAATGTGTTATTTACATGATATTCAAATTACACATTGGAATCTAGTTAGATAATATAATTTTAAATTTTAAAGTAGAAGAAGTCAAGAATAATAGTGAAGAATGGACATTTGTCAAAAATAAGTGATTTTGGAATTTCCAAGAATAATATTGGAAGGACTTCAGAAAGTTAAAGTAGTGATATTATTTATGGTATGCTAGAATATATAGCTCCTGATGTATTAGAAAATAAAGACAAGGCAATGAAAACATATTCTTTTGAAGTAGATGTATTTTCAATTGCAATGCCATGTTTGCAAATTCTTTTAAGAAAAAAAAAATCATTTTTTAATTTTTATAATAAAAAAATAGATATTGAAAAAGATAACAAAAGGAAAAAGATCCACGTTACCTTCAAATTGTAATGAGTTGATTGTATTGATAAAAGAATGTTGGAGGTTCAATCCTTCAAAATGTCCGAAGTTTAGAGATATTTGTGAGAGACTTACAAGTTTTAAGACGAATTTTTTGATAGGATTTTATGAAGATAATGGCCCTTCTTTTAATGGTTCAAAGAAAAAAAATCACCAAATTATGAAAAAAAAAGAAACATGTGGTGATGATGAAGTGGTAAAGTTTGTAGTTATTTATGTTTTGTTTGTTTGCTTGGTTGATATAGACATAAAATAGATTCAAATGATTGAATGGTATATGTAAAGAATATTATGTTACAAAATGTACAATATATATATATATATATATATATATATATATATATATATATCAATATTATGTTATAACATGTACAATGTATATATTTTGGCATAAAAGTTTTGGTTGTTTATGTAGATATATTTGTAAGAAGTTCAGCTCGTAGGTAGACATGAATACTCAAATAAGTTACTAAAGCTATGCAAAAAAGGTGTAAAAATAATATGTCTTGTTGGCTTAGGTGGAATGGACAAGACAACAATAATAAAGTTTACACATAATAATGTGAAGTGTATGTATGATGCCTCATACTTTGTTGAAAAGTTGTAATATAGTAATGATAGCTATACCATTTGTTGTAACATTTTGAAAGAACTCATGATTGAAGAAACACCAAAGACTTTGGAAGATGCACAAGTATTTTTGAAATTACCCTTTAGGTAAAAAAAAAAAAAAAAAAAAAAAAAAAAAAAAAAAACCATCTTGGTGTTTGATGATGTGAAAGAACAAAGAGAAATTGAAGATGTTGTGCCTTAAGATGAATTTTGTACAAGTAATGGAAGCCCTTTGATTGTAACTACATAAAATTGGAATTTCATGAAGCATTATTTTGGAGAAATTCATAGGCTAGATATTGAAAAACTTAAAATAGGTGCAAGTTTAGAATTATTAATTACTCATTTTCATAGAAAGCAAGTTGAATTACCTAAAGAATTTAATGATATAGGTAGAAAGATTGTGAAAGGTTGAAATGACTTACCTTTGAGCTTGAAAGTTTTAGGAGCATTCTTAAGATGACAAAGGAGAGTAAGATGTAAGGAGCAAGCTTTATAAAGGTTAAAAAGAGCAAGAAATATGGATTGAGATGAAGAAAATAGTGACCATAAGATTTGGACAATATTAAGAATAATCTTTGACTAATTAAAAGTTGAAGAAAAATATGTATTTTTGGTCATTTGTTGTTTCTAGTGATGTGTATCTATATGGAATGTCAAAAGAAAGAGTATTGCAAATATGGACAAATAATGAGAGATTGAATTTGGAGCAAGATATGAAAAATGCATTGGACACATTGATTGATCATTCATTAGTAAAAATAGATGAAGATGGAATTATGAAAATGCATGACCATTTATAAGACATGGATCGAATGATTGTTGAAACAAAAAAATTACACAAAAATACAAGGATATGGAAAATGAGCATAGTGCCAACAAAAAAATTTACAATAAAGATACTTAACTTAACAAATAAATTACATGTATAAAATCAAGAAATATACAACCTTCTATCTTTTGTAAAGTTTGATTTAATTAAATATGTAAAATTGACATTACAACTATAAGTTTTTGTTAATTTTTTTTAATTTTTAAAACTATTGATAGAAGAGTTAGACAATCTCATATTTTTTGTATGCTTTTGTATTAAAAAATATTTAATTTTGGTATTACTAACAAACAAAGTTAAGCAACTTTGTATCCATGACATATTTTCTTATGTATAGATGTTCAAAGTTGACATCATTGATAAATGATTTAGACAATTTTACATCTTTGATATAGATTTTTTAAAATATGTAATCATGATTGATATTATTATTAATAGAATTAGATAACCTTATATCTTTAATAAATTTTTATATGTAATATTATTAATAATTTATATTCATGCTAAAAATAAAAATAAAAAGATCTATGGTATACTTTAATATTGATAAGTATTTTTATATTA